CATAAACAAGAGGAGGAGTTTAGGCTGGGGGAAGAAAGAAAAAGACACTAGAGAGATGCCAGGGCCAGCCAGCCAGGAAGTAGAAAGCAGGACACACAGAATGAAGATAAAAAGCCCTGAGGCAAAACATAGATGAGTAAAGATAGGTTAAATTCAGTTAAAAGAGCTAGTGGGACAAGCCTAGGCTAAGATTGAGCATTCATAATCAATAACAAGTCTCTGTGTCTTTATTGGGAGCTTGTTGGTGATTCAAAGAAAATTCCAACTACAGTATAATTGGGGGGGGTTATTAAATAGATTTATTAAATCTATTTTATGTGTTTAAGTATTTTACTTGCATGTATGTAGGTCCACCATAAGCATGCTTCATGTCTGTGGATGTCAGACAAGGGCTTCTGATCCCCTGTTGTGAGCAACCATGTGGGTGCTGGGAATTAAACCCAGGTCCTCTATAAGGGGAGCAAGTGCCCATAACAGCTGAGCGATCTCTCCAGGCCAGTCTTAGAAAGAGTAATAAACTTTAATCATCCAGCATATGGATCATCCTTAAATTCTATTTTTGTATGGTTTATTTGAATTCCTTGTGACTTGGCTTTAGGCTTTCATTGGCTCCATCACTTATTTTTCATTCTTAGAACAAAATCTTTTTATCATAAAAAGTCCACCCTTATCCAATAATTCCCTGTTCCTTTTTACCCTTTTAACAAAAACATAACCTTATACTTAGATTATTCTCAACAATTCTCTCACACCCACTTACTGTTTCTTTCTCATTTCATGCCTCTGAAATGTCAAATCCAAAGAACATATGTGGCACCTTGTAACAAATTAAAATTACCTGTACACATACTCACATACTTTTTTTTAAGATTTTATTTTTTTTAATATTTATTTATTATGTATACAATATTCTGTCTGTATGCCTGAAGGCCAGAAGAGGGCGCCAGACCTCTTTACAGATGGTTGTGAGCCACCATGTGGTTGCTGGGAATTGAACTCAGGACCTTTGGAAGAGCAGGCAATACTCTTAACCACTGAGCCATCTCTCCAGCCCACTCACATACTTTTTTATTTATTTATTTTTTTGATTGATTGGTTTTGCTTTTGGATTTTTCCGGACAGGGATCAGACTGGCCTCGAGCTCACAAAGACCCACCTTTGCCTCCCTAGTGCTGGGATTAGAGGTGGGTGCCACCACCACCCTGCTGCACACATCCTTTTTTTTTTTTTTTTTAAGATTTATTTACTAGCCAGGCAGATCCTATGAGTTCAAGGCCAGCCTGGTCTACAAGAGCTAGTTCCAGGACAGGTTCCTAAGCAACAGAGAAACCCTGTTTCAAAAAAACAAAACAAACAAATAAAAACAACAACAAAAAGATTTATTACTATGTATACAATGTTATGCTTGCAGGTCAGAAGAGGACAGCAGATGTCACACAGTGAGCCACAATGTGGGTGCTGGGAATTGAACTCAAGACTTCTGGAAGAAACAGCCATCTCTCTAGCCCAATTTTTACATTTCTTTCTTCTTCTGGTTAGAAAAAAATACTTTACATTCTAGCAAGAGCCTTGACTTGTTATCAAAATGACCTTGATGTTAGGGAATAGGACCTTGCAAACAGGAAATGGCAGAAAAGAAAGCACGTACAAAGCAAAAAAAAAAAAAAAAAAAAAAATCTCTGCATGTTATCTCTGTAATTGCAATTTTAGATGAGAAAGACGTGTTAATGTGTTTTAATTCTCGCAGCAAAGAGGGGTGTTAGGGCAGGGCGTTGCCTCTCGGAATGCTCCCTATCTCTCCATTAAAACAATGGATTTCCGCTTTCTCCCTGGAGTCTGTCTTCTATCTAACTCCCTTTGAGCTTTCTCTATTTGGTGATTTGGACCTTGACTTTCTGGAGCCTTGCCTACTCTCATTAATCTGATTTATGGCTGTCAACAGAATCTAAGCATTCTGCTTGTTTTTCCTTGACCCTCTTACACAGACCTTTTGCCAGGCTCTGAATAACTAGCTACATTCCCTCCTCTTTAGCCCTCCGTCTTTTCTCATTTGTTTTCAGTCTGTCTGCTCAGTGGTCAGTGTAATTTTAGTATCCCTTTTTCTAAAGGCTCTTTTGCGTTTAATCTCAAATATTTTTTCTTTCTTTCTTTTTTTAATTTTATTTATTCATTATGTGTACAGCATTGTGCTTCCATGTATGCCCACACACCAGAAGAGGGCACCAGGTCTCATTACAGATGGTTGTGAGCCATCATGTGGTTGCTGGGAATTGAACTCAGGACCTCTGGAAGAGCAGTCAGTGCTCTTAACCTCTGAGCCATCTCTCCAGCCCCCTCAAATATTTTTTCATCTGACTATTAGGCCTTTCTAGGAATACCGAGGGCTCATCTTCTTTTTCTGTTTATTAAGGTTTCACTTACCTATTGACTCCTTGGTGGTGGTAGCCCACTCTGAATGAAGCTTAGTATATTTCAACATTGTCCAGAGCTTTCCTTGAGACAGTCTAACACCTTTGAAGTTTCTACAACACACCGTCTGTGGCTTTGCACATCTTATGTTCTCTACCTGGGATGTTTTTTCCCAGGCCAATGGGTTGGCTCTCTTGTTCCTTTTAGATCTTGACTTAAATGTCTCATTATCAGGGAAGCTGTCTCTATCACGCCTTTTAAAAAAGGGAAACCTCTTAATTCCCCTGTACTCCCTGTTTATACATCTCATATGTGACAACCTGTGTTAGAAGTGACTGGCGTCTCCATTAGATACTGCTAGTTCATTGAATAGAAGAGTTTTTATTTTATTTATTATTATTGGTGTGTGTGTGTGTGTGTGTGTGAGAGAGAGAGAGAGAGAGAGAGAGAGAGAGAGAGAGATTTTCTCCTTCCACCATGTGGGTTTTATGGATCAAACTTAGGTTGTCAGTCTTGGAAACAAGTGCCCTTATTGCCCGAGTCATCTTGCCAGTCCTCTCAAAAACAAACAAGCAAATGCCTTTCTAATAAGCTTTTGTCAAGACTTTTTATTAAGCAAACAGGTTTGTGTTATGAACCAAAAAAACAACCAAATAAAAGATAACTAACTTTTAAAATTTTTATTTTAGCTGGGCGATGGTGGCGCACGCCTTTAATCCCAGCACTCAGGAGGCAGAGGCAGGCGGATCTCTGTGAGTTCGAGACCAGCCTGGTCTACAGAGCTA